TTAAAAAAGATAAACTGGCTTACTTTGGTAATTACTATAACTACAAATAAATATAGTGAGTTTGGGAAACATAGAAAGCTTTGAAAAATATTAACTTTTATGCATGTTCTTCCTGTTTTACATATTCTTAACTTTTTTACATATTCCATACGTATACACATGGCATTTTTTATAGAATACAATCTAAATCTCTTACATGTGTCTTTCTTGTTTTATTGTTTCCTCTTCATTTTCTCCATTTTCAATCTCTTTCTGTGTATGTATTCTGGAGTATCTGCTTATGCTTCTTACATACATCTATCTGTTTAATTTTCATACAGAGTCATGAAAGACAAAAGCCACTCAAACCATACTTTCCTCATAAGCTCATGGATCCTTCCATATACCTCCCACAATACTACTTCTGGGAATATATCCCGAGGGTGCAAAAAAGTACAGTAGAAATGACGTCTGTACCTACATACATGTTCATTGCAGCACTGTCCACAATAGCCAAAATCTGGAAACAATCCGAGTGCTTGAGAACACATGACTGGTTAAAGTAACTTTGGTACATCTACACAATGGAATACTACGCAGCCATTAGGAGAGATGAAGTCATGAAATTTGCTTATAAGTGGATAGACATGGAGAGTATTATGCTAAGTGAAATGAGTCAGAAAAAGAGGGACAGATATAGAAGGACTGGACTCATTTGTGGAGTATAAAATTACATGAGACTGACACCTCAGGACAGTGAACACAAGGGCCAGGAAGATTCCTTCATAGTTGGAAGCCTTCCTCATGGGCCGAGGGGAGAAGAAAGCTGGAATAGAGAAGGGATCACTAAGAAAATGATGGTTGGAGGGATCAGTCGGGATGGGAGATGTGTGCTGAAAGTAGATAAAGGACCAAACATGATAACTTCTCAGTATCTGTATTGCAAACCATAATGCTCCAATGTAGAGAGAGAGTATGGGGAATATTGTCTGCCATGGAGGCAGGGAGAGGGTGGGAAGGGGGTATACTGGGGAGATTGGTGGTGGGGAATGTGCACTGGTGGAGGGATGGGTGTTTGATCATTGTGTGATTGTAACTCAAACAGCAAAGCTTGTAACTATACCTCATGGTGATTCAATAAAAAATTAAAATAAAAGAACTCATGGCTCCATAGACAGCTGATAAATAGATGATGGTGATGATGATGATGACGATGAACATAGATGATAGATAGGAAAAGAAGAAACAATCATGCAATCTTAAATGCTTTATGATCTTCGGTAGAAAAAAAGGTTTCTTTACTTTGATTCCATAAGGGCCATCAATCGTTCTTCTTCTGTACCTATTTTGTCTCTCTTCCTCATTCTAAAAACGTTTTTTGGACAATCTTTCTAGTTTAGGCCTGATTTGTTACCACTGACCACAATTCAAACTGTTTCTACGGAACTTAGCTGAAAGATTCATCCTCAATTTCCTAATCAGTCTATTTCCTAATCATCGCATGGTGTGCCAGGGCTAGGAGGAACTCTGTTCACCCTCACACATCTTCCCTTATCTCCACCTTGTGCTTCAACTCTATCTGAAATTCCTTCTGCAACATACTTCCTTGTTAGTGATTTAGCCAACATTAGCCATCTGCAATGATAGACATTCACTACCTCTGAGTGACCAGAACATTTTTTTGCAGTGCTCTAACAATTTAAATACTTGCATTTTTTTCACTCTCACTACTTTTATTTTTCTGTTGGAGTTTCACAGAACAATTTACCCATAAAATTGTCCATTCAAAACCTCTTTAAAAAGTAATATTTACAATAACATCAAAAAATAACAAAATAGTTGGGGACAAACTTAACCAGGAGATAACAAAAAAAAACTACAAACCTTTGCTAAAAGAAATTAAACAAGGGATTGGAGGATAGTATAGAGGGTAAGTCATTTACCTTGCATATAGCTGACCCCAGTTCAATTCTGGCACTATATATGATCCCCTGAGTATTACCAGAAGTGATCCCTGAACAGAGGGCCAGGAGTAAGCTCTGAGCACAGCTGAGAGTACCCTCTTTCCCAGCTCCCCTCAAATTAAAGAATGTGTCAATAAATGTAAAGACAACATGTTTCGTGGATTAGAAAACACTAGCTTTTTTGCTAAAATACTAATAATACCCTGATAGACAGAGTCAATGGAATCTCTATCAAAATTCCATGATGATTTTGCAGAAATATAAAAATATATCCTAAAATTAATAGAGTATCTCAAGAAAACCCAAATAGCCAAAACTGTCTCACAAACAACAACAATGTTGGAAGTCTCAAATCGTAATGACAATGTTCAATAATTTTTTTTAATTTAGATTTTTATTAGTGAAACACCATGCGGTACAGTTGTAGATTTACAAATTTTTGTGCTTGGGTTTCAGTTATACAATGATCAAATACCCATCCCTCCACCAGTGCCCATTCTCCACCAACACTGATCCCAGTATCCCTCCCACCCCCCGTCCCCCCCCATCCCAACCTGCCTCTGTGGCAGGGCATTCCCCCTTGTTCTCTCTCCTGTTACAATAATTTTTATAACAGTCAATGTTATACCGGCATAAAGATATATGTAGATTCCTGAAATCAAACTAAAAATTTGGAAAAATTCCTACTCATCTGTGGTCAAAGGTCTCTCAACCAGATGCCAAGACCACTCAATGAGGAGGGATGTCTGTCACTGTTACTGTCACTGTCCTCTCATTGTTCATCACTTTGCTCTAGCGGGCCCAGTAACATCTCCATTGTGAGACTTGTTGTTACTGTGTTTGGCATATTGAATACGCAACGGGGAGCTTGCCAGGCTCTGCTATGCAGGCGAGATACCCTTGGCAGCTTGCTGGGCTCTCCGAGAGGGGTGGATGAATGGAACCTGGGTCAGCCACGTGCAAGGCAAACCCCCTACCCGCTGTGCTATCACTCCGGCCCATGGTTATGGAAACGAGAAAGATAAAATAAGTGCTTATATGAAATGACGTTCGATAAAATCCTATTTCCAAATTTCATTTTTTAATTTCTAAGTTCGTCATATCAAGTTTTTTAGAGTTAGATGCCTGAAGCCTCCTTCCCATGCTCACATACACAATCTTCTAAATGCCACTGGAGACAGCAGGAGAACATCCAGGAAACGGGGCAGGGGCAGGAAATTCCTCAGCATGATTGTGACTGGTCTGAACTGGAAAGTCTCCCCTCCACCCAGAAAACGAGGTCCAGGACTGACTCCCACCTGCCCACAGGGCTCCATCTCCCTCCCACCGCCCATTTCATCAGCCCATCAACCAAACAGGCACCAGAGAAACTGCTGCTGGGACCCGGAGCCGTGACTGTCCCTGGTCCGGTCACTGCCTGACTGGGTGAGGCCCAGCAGGTCCCAGCCAAGCTCAGAGAACGGAACAGGACAGTGGGCAGGTGCTTGCCTGACATGAAGCCGACCTGGGTTCGATCATGGCACCACGTATGGCCCATATGGTCCCGAGTCCCCTGATCCCTGAGTGCAGAGACAGAGCCGGAGTAAGTCCTGGGCACTGCCGGGTGTGGGCCAATAACCAGGAAAAGAAAAGGGACAGGCCAGTCGCGGGCCCTGAGCGGCCGCCTCCCAGACACAAGCCTGGGTGCACACGCGCCTCAGACTCGTCAGCGCCACGACTGCCTCATCTCCAGACTCCAGGCCCCTGAACCCCCCTGGAGAGCCACCAGGAACCAGCTCCTCCCTGGGCCCGAGTATGCAGCCCTGCCCGGCGCTCGCCGCAGCGTGGCTCCTGGGGGAAGAGCATGCAGGGGGCCAAGTGCGTCAGCTTCTACAGGCGCAGGTTCAGGTCCTCCTTGGGGTGCTCGTCACTGCCGGGCGGGAAGGAGCCGCTGACCGCGTGCTTTTCCACCTTCTTGGCCAGCTCTCGGGCATGGGCGTCATCCAACTGGTCGATCTTCTGTGAAGTCTTAAAGAACAGGAATGTCTAGTCAACAAAAAGTGCTGGAACAACTGGCAACCACAGGTAAATAAATGAAGTCAGGACATCATGTCTTCAAAAAACTAACCCAAAATGGATCAACGATCTGAATATCAGATCTCACACTGAGCTGGAGAGATAGGTCAGTGCACTGGAACATATAATTTGCATTCAGGAAGACTGACTTTAATTTCTGGCACCACATGGTCCCCTGGTCACTGCCAATAAGCAACTACCAAGCACTTATCCCTCAACAGGAGTAGCTAGTAGCTCCTGGACAGCTCCAGGTGCGACACCCCCCGCCCCAAAGACTTAGCACTCATGGAATATAACACTTGTCAAAGATTTTTTGGATCTGATGACAAAAGCACAGACACAGAGGTGGCTTTCGTGAAGGGACTGAATGATGAGCTGTTGCAAGGATCCAGAGGTCCTTGAGTGCTGGTCCAGGGCTGAAGGACTTCCTGTGAGGGAAGCGGGAAGCTGGATGGAGAAAGCATGAAGCAACCCCATCAGTCTCTCTTCTCGCCACCAGTCTCTTGCCACTCCTACCAGAAGCAAACCAGATTGCCAGGAGGTGCGGGTGATGCAGTCAGCAAGGGCCAGACCTGGGGGTACAAGTAGGGTAGAAACTGGGGAGAGTGCATCCAGTGGGCAGAGATTAGGAAACATAACACTTCTTGCAAAGAATTGAATTATCACTGAAAAGTAAAGCTACCAACTTCAGATGTGAAAGAAAACCCTAAAAGCAAGATGAGTCTATCCCTAGCCCCCTGCCCCGCTCATCCCCGCCTCCCTCTCTGGGTTCACTGACTGGATTCCCGGAGAGAATAGTAAAATCTCACTGGAACAAAAAAAAGTGTGTAGTGGTGTGACAACATGGTCTGCCCTGGTCCATCTGGCTTCAGAAGCGCTGAGGGTTATGTGATGAGGTTAACTCACCAGAGAGAGTCGTGAATCACTTGTGTGGGTGCTGTCTTGTGTGATGTTGTTCTTTCGGAGAACTCACTGTATACACTGTGTCTTTAATTCATGAAGGTGATTCATCTGAGGAAGTGGACCTGACCATGGTGTATCAGGCGGCCGCTAATGGAGATGTCAATGCTCTGACTTCCGTGATCCGAGAAGATCCTTCCATCCTAGAATGCTGTGACAGTGAAGGTGAGCTGGTATTTGAGGATGTAGGAATTGATTTATCGAGGTTGGGGTGGCGGAGGCCACACTCAATGGTGCTCAGGGCATATTGCTGGTTTCACGCTGGGGAGTGACCTATAGCAGTACTTACGGAATCATGTGTGGTGCCAGGCATTGGAACCAGTGTTGTGGGATGCCAAGCAAGTACTGTAGCCCCTATACTACTTCTCTAGCTCCTATTTATTTATTTTGAATCCAGAAGAATGTCCTGTTCAGTCTTTCATAGCTGACCTTCAGTGGTGAGCAATTTTAATGACACATCTGACAGATAATTTCAAATCTGAGGGATAAGAAGTATCTTGCCCTTAGTACTATTCAGGTCTCTTAATATTTCTTTATGTGGAACTTTTAAACACAAATCTTCACATTTTTTTACATCACCTCTTATAGTGAAGCCACTCAGTGTACCTATATTTCCAGCTTCTTTACGAAAGAATAAAGTAGACCAGGCACACAGCTAGAAAAGCAACTTTTGGTAGCAGTGGGTGTTAAGACAGTATGAGTTCAAGGACTCCTGCTTCTGGAAAAATAGATATGCTTTTTTTTTCTATACCTATTCTTATGCAACTAAAATCTTGGCCAGTGTCACTGTATCACTGTCATCCCATTGTTCATTGATTTACTCAAGCAGGCGCCAGTAAGGTCTCCATTCGTCCCAGCCCTGAGATTTTATTTATTTATTTATTTATTTTTAATCACTTAATCACTTAACTTCCCGTTAGTCGTCGATTTGCTCGAGCGGGCGCCAGTAACGTCTCCATTTGTCCCTGTCGCGTGCTAGTGTAGCCCAATGGCATCTGTTCGCTCCAGGAACATGAAGGGCCTCAAACCGATCGTTCATGATCTTGACGAAGAAGTCTGACCATCTGGAAGGTGGGCGGCCACGCGGTCTTTTGACATCCCGTGGAATCCAGTCCGTAACAGCTCTAGTCCAGCGGTCATCTTTAAATCTCATTACGTGACCAGCCCACCTGATTTTCGACACCTTGGCATATGAGACAGCGTCCCTGATTCTTGATCGTCGACGGATGTCAGAACTCCGGATTCTCTCTCTCATTTGAGTGAAACGTGATATTCCAAGCATAGCTCTTTCTATTCTTCTTTGGGAGACCTGAATAGCGTTCTCATCTTGTTTGCGTAGGGCCCAGATCTCTGAGGCATATGTTAATGCAGGAAGAACAGTGGAATCAAAGAGATGTTCCCGGAACCGGAGGTTCTTCGTCCTCTTAGCTATTTCTTCGACGTTCTTGAAGGCGTTCCAAGCCGCTCTCTTCCTCCTGCGCAGCTCGGGTGCCAGGTCATTTGTCATGTTGACCTCTCCACCTAGGTACACATAGCTGTTGCATTCGGAGATGGTCGTTCCATTGAGAGCGAATGGGACGTCAGGAACGAGGCTGTTTCTCATAAACATTGTCTTCGTAAGATTCAGCTGTAATCCTACCTTTCCACACTCACGGTCAAAGTCCGCCAGCATTTGTGCCGCTTGGCTGATGTTTGGTGTTATTAAAACAATGTCATCAGCAAAGCGGAGGTGGTGTCGTTGCCGACCATCTATCTTCACTCCCATTCCTTCCCATTCCAGTCATGGCATGATGTTCTCGAGGGTGGCACTGAAGAGTTTTGGTGAAATGGTATCACCCTGCCGCACCCCTCTCTTGACATCAACGATCACTTCTTTGTAGAATGGTGAGATCCTGGTAGTGAATCTGCAATACAGCTCACGGAGGATCCTGATGTATTGGGCTTGAATGCCCTGATTGGCTAGGGCTTCAATGACCGCTTCCATCTCAACAGAATCAAAGGCCTTCTTTAAGTCAATGAACGTTAAACAGAGTGGCATCTTGAACTCCCGAGAAACCTCAATGAGCTTGGTTATCATGTGGATGTGGTCGATGGTGCTGAATCCTTTGCGGAATCCGGCTTGCTTGCCTGGTTGTCCTTCATCTAGTGTTCTGCCAATCCTATTTAGGATGACTCGAGTGAACAACTTGTAGATGACAGACAACAGGCAGATCGGGCAATAGTTGCCAATGTCATGGATGTCTCCCTTCTTGAACAGTAGTCCTGCTGGTTTTCCATTGGGACGGAACCTTGGATTCAGACAGGTAGCAAGTGAAGAGCCGAGCCAGTGTATTGATGAGTACTGACGGCAGGTTCTTCAGGTGTTCAGGTCTGACCTTGTCTGTTTGTTTCTTTACCGACGAAATGGCGTGTCGGATTTCAGAAGGGAGAACGTTGGGAACGACATATCCATCCTGTGGAATTTGGTATGTCGGCAAGTGGACATGGCTATCGAAGAGATGTGAAGGTGATCTGGCTGCGACATCTGTCACCCCATTGATCGCCAGGGTTGATTCGGCTGATCTGGCTGGCTAGGCGGTTGTCCCCTTCCTCCCTCACCGCTCCATGTGCGTCCCTCCCGAAGCTGCACGCTCGGTCGAAGAGGACGGCCTCCCCGATAGAGATGGACCGGTCTTCGGTCGAGGGTATACGAGTAGCTGCGCTCCCCTGCTAGAACCTCCAAACAAGCTCATTTATTTTTAAATTTTATTTATTTATTTTTTGCTTTTTTGGGTCACACCCGGCGATGCACAGGGGTTACTCCTGGCTCTACACTCAGGAGTTACTCCTGGTGGTGCTCAGGGGACCATATGGGATGCTGGGAATCAAACCTGGGTCGGCCACATGCAAGGCAAATGCCCTACCCACTGTGCTATCTCTTCAGCCCCAGCCCTGAGATTTTAGCAGCCTTTCCTTACTCATCTTTCCCAATCAGCCAGTATAGATATAAAACAAATTTAGACTTTGAAAGTGCAGAGAAAATGGTAGCCTGGCTAGACACTTGGGGCCCAAGAGTGATACAGTAATTAATTCCATGGTTTTGCTTGTGTATATCCCAGACCTAAGATTTGAAGAAACCAGGAACTCCAAAATGCCAACAGGCGTGGACCAAAAAAGTCCCCAACCAAAGTCCGCTGTCACCAGCTAAAGGACAAGGAGAGAACCAATCTAGGAAAACAATGTCTTGAACAATGACTCAGGGCTGGAGAGAGTACAGGATCTAAGGCACTTTCCTAGCATGCTGCCAACCATGGTTTGAATCCCCTGCACCACACATGACCCCCACCCCCCAAATAACACAAGGGGGTCCTTCCTGCACAAAGAGCCAGAAATAACCACTGAGCACCTAAGGACTCTAATCCAGGCAAATCTCTCTCCTCCCTCCCTCTTTCCCTTCACCTCCCTTCTCCATCTCTCCCCCTTTCCCTCTCTCCCTCATTCCCTCCCCCCTCTCCCAGACCACACCTCACTCCAGGAACATAACATGTAGACCAGGAATCAAACTAGGATTGTAAGTGCCTTCACTATTGTCCTGTCTCCTGACCCCTAGTTAATAATTTTTAATCAGTTAACTTGGCCCAAAAGGAGTTTGGATTTTCTGATCATGAGAGTAAAATGTTTGTAAAAAAATGAGTGGTTGCTCCCTAATTTAATCTTGGTGACTTTGTTTGTTTGCAAAACAGAGTCACTTTCACATCTGCCTTTAGGCTGGAAGTGAAAAGTGAGAGTCAAAGGTTAAATACCAGCTGTCTGATAAATGCAAGAGCCACACAGTGTTCAGTTCTACCCTGTATACACTGACTATAAAGATACGAATAAAGCAGCACTAAGATGGAAATTTATAGCACTAATACATTGAAATTTATAGCACTAATGCATTGATTAAGAAAGAAAGATATTGGGCTGGGAAGATAGCTCAAAGGGCTGGCGTGCATACTTGGGGGTTTAATCTCCAAAGACCTATCTTCTCCAGGAACAATTCACAAGCTGCCAGCCTGGAATAACCCCCAAGCACCACCAAGTGTGACTTAAAAACAAAACAAAACAGAAAAAGTGGGAAGTATTTCGTCAATAATCTAAATTCTCTTTTTAAAGAACCTAGAGTAAGAGGGCAAAATAAACTGAAAGGAAATAGAAAGAAATTAGAAACAGTAAACAATAACATTGAAAATTAAAGAGAGAATAAGTAAAACAGGAATTCATTGGGTGAAAGCACTGTAGCACTCTCCTGTTGTTCATCGATTTGCTTGAGCGGGCACTAGTAATGTCTCCATTGTGAGACTTGTTGTTACTATTTTTGGCATATCAAATACACCACGAGGAGCTTGCCAGGCTCTGCTGTGCGGGTGGGATACTCTCGGTAGCTTGCTGGGCTCTCCAAGAGGGACGGAGGAATCGAACCTGAGTTGGCCGCATGCAAGGCAAACACCCAACCCACTGTGCTATCGCTCCAGCCCAGATTCGGTGAAAAGATCAATAAAATTGACAAGTCTCTAGTTTATCCACAAAGAGAAAATGAAAGATGCAGCAATTAAGAATGAAGTCAAGTTATCACAGCAAACTTTGCAATAACGAAAATCAATATACAGTTTTGCATGCATATGACTTGTTAAAATAATAGCTTCATTCCTCATAATTCTAGAATTCACTTAATAAAACTAGATTATTTGAATATTCCTATAACTCTTAAGAAAAGTTAATTTATAAATTAAAAATTTCAGAAGAAAAAGTCCTAGGACTAGATGTTTTCACAGGAGACTTCTACAAACTTTTAAATATTATCAATTCTATTTGTTCAGTTAGGAAAAATTGGGGTGAGGGGACAGCTCTACTCAATTATGTTTCTTATGCTGATAACAAAATCAGGAAAATATGGTATAAAAAATTAAGTTACTATCCAATCTTCCTCATTTAAATAGATATATAAATCATTAGCAAGTTTAACAAATAGAGCACATTAATTGAAAAAAAGAATTATATATCATGACCAAGTGGATATGTCCTATTTTTTTTCTTCTTATATTGAATCACTGTGAGATACAGTTACAAAGCTTTCATGACTGAGTTTCAGTCATACAATGGTTGACCACCCATCCCTCCACCAGTGTACATTTTCCACCACCAAT